CAGCCCCACAGCCCCACAGCCCCACAGTCCCACAGCCCCACAGCCCCACCGCCCCACCGCCCCACGACCCCACGACCCCACGACCCCACGACCCCACGACCCCACAACCCCACAACCCCACAACCACAACCCAACCCCAACCGCAACCCCAACCCCAACCATAACCACGAACGCAACCGCAACCACAACCACAGCCACGGCCACAACCACAACCAACAGCAAACTAGAACAAAAACCAACAAACAGCAATACCCAACAACAAACAACAACAGGCAACAGCACACATAACCAACAACAACAGCAACAACGACGACGGCAACAGCAACGACAACAACAACAACAACAGCACCAATACAGACAGCAACACCACCACCAGCACCAGCAGCAGCGGCAGCAGCAGCAACAAGCAATAAACAACAACCAACAAACAACAAACAGCAAACAACAAGCAATAAACAACAAACAACAAATAGCAAGCAACAACAAAACAAACAATAATCGACAGCAACAACAGCAGCAGCAACAACAACCACCACAACAGCAACATCATCATCCTTGTGGTCATCATCACCTTCTCCATTTTTTTCGTCGTTATCACCCCACACCACCGCTACCACCCGCACCTGTAACACCGCCACCGCCACCGCCACCACCAGCACCACAACAACCACCACCACCACCACCACCACGGCCATGATCACCATCGTCATCAGACATCAACAACAAATATAGTGATAATAATAGTGACTGTAGAAAACAGTAACCACGATAAAATAGGAAACGGAATCTACAGCAGCAACAACAACAGCAACAACAACAGCAACAACAACAACAACGACAACAACAACGACAACAACAACAACAACAGCAACAGCAACAGCAACATTAGCAGCTGCAACAACAACACAAGGAAGGCTCGTATGTCCACAATAACCATCATGTTATCGCAATAATACTGCAAAAAGCAAAACCATAGAAATAATAGCGACAACGATACCAATCATGACCACATTACTAATATCCATTTTTTCTATACATGACAGTAGAAACAATAATGACTACAAAAAACCACACTATAAACAACGCCAAAAACCACACATGGCATATCAGCAGTCACAATAATCACAAGAATAATGAGAACCACACCGGCAGCAACTACGACAACGACAACACTAACATTGACACTAATATTAACACTAGCGATGATGCTTCTGTCAATTACAGCGCTACCATCAGCAGCACTACAGCTACAGCGACAGCAACGGCAACAGCAACAGCAACAACAGTAACGCCGAATTCCTAATAGAAATAGATTTGCTATGGCAAGAAGAACAATTATAGCACGAATAGAGATGGTACCAAAAAAATGTTGTTTCTACTTGTCAGGTATCACTACTTCGAAGAGAAGGAGGTTTACAATGCGATCCGCGTGTACATTGCTGCATATGTCTGGATGACAGGGTATGGCAACTTCTTTCTGTACCGCAAGGGAAAGAGTTATACCATTCGACGCACGCTCCAGATGCTTTTTCGGTTGAACTTTTTGGGCTTTGCAGTATGCACTGTCTTGGGGAACGAGTACATGCTGTACTACATATGCGCGATGCACACTATCTTCACGGTATTCGTGCTGCTTGCCATGTACATTGGACATAGCCTGAACACCTCTGGAACTGTCCTTTGGGTAAAGATTGTGTTGACATTTGCATTGACTTTATTCCTGTATGACGGGCCGGACATAATATTTAGATTGGTTTTCGGCACACTGCCCGGAGTCAGACCACTTTTCGCGTTTCACGATCCTCTACATCCCGAATTCACAGACGAGATGCATGAGTTCCACTTCAGATCCGGCCTCGACCGCTTCATATGGATTGTCGGCATGGTCTTTGCATTGCATTACGAGCATGCCGCTGCCTTTCTGCAGAAGTTGGAGAAGGATTCATGGCCAAAGCAAGCTGTGGTCCGATCGGGGATGATCCTGGTTTCGGCCTGTGTTGGAATTGCCTGGTGGCATTTTGCCTTCCGCTTGCCAAAACTGGAGTACAACAAGATCCACCCTTACACGTCCGGCTCTCAGTTGCCTCAGAGTCGGACTCTCAGTCCTCATGACATTTCAGGACAGCATGACAGGAACAGAGAGTATTTCGTTCGAGGTCATTTGTGCCTCTGACCATCTATCTCATGGTCCGAAACTTGACACCAACTCTGCGTGAGTATCACTTGCACCTCTTCGCATACATGGGGAGAGTGACCCTGGAAACCTACATCTTCCAGTTCCATATCTGGATGCGAACCACAGGTCTCAACGGATCGCCGAAGAAGCTTCTGGCAGTGATACCTGGATATTTCTGGCCGAATTTGGTTATTGTGTCGGGATTGTATTTGTTTGTCTCAATCAGGTTCTCGCACCTGACGGGAGTCCTTCGAGATGAGCTCATCCCAGAAAGCCTTCAGTCTTTGCGCAAGACTTGGGTTGGCTTGCTAGGTGTTTCACTGATGTGCTGGACAGGGGCCGGGCTTTGCAAAGCTTGAAGTCTGGAGCCCCGGTCAACCTCGAGATGCATCCGCGTTCCTCCAAAACAAGGTCCCCTTCCGACGGCATGATCTCATTTTCCCTTGTGTGATTTGTTTGTCTTGATATTCTCGGTTTGAATTTCAGGACCTTAGGTGCTTGAGCTCGGTGCCTCATGTTATTCAGAATCCACCCAGTTTCTGCAAGAAGGCATGCCGCCGATGGCTATCACGCATCATCACATAGTTTGTTTTGAGACTGCGCCGGTGAAGCTTGTCTTTGTCTTTTTCGTACATGGGCTTGTTCGCTGATTCCGACACAGAGAGCCGACGGCCTGTTTTCCCGCTCTGCTCCTTCCTTATGCTAATGCTGCTATATGTTCTCTCGAATTGGGTCTCTCCCAAGACTTCTTCTGTTGTATGCTCTCCGCTCAAGACAGTAGCGAGGCACTTCCCAGCCCTTGTCGTTGTTGTAGCATCTTGCACAGAGACTGTGGGAAAGGCATACACAAAGGATTCACAAGAAAAGAGGAATCACGAGCAACATATGCCATAAATGCAAGCAAGTCGTAACTGGGGTAGACAGGACTACTTACTTCCAGAAAGTGGGAAGCCATAAGCAAACTGTGCCACAGGAAAAGATTAAACCTCGTTTTAGCGCAGGGCTGGCTGGGGTGGTAGCTGCGGCGAAATCTAATTGGGTCATCTCTCAGCTTCCGATCAGCCTTCTGTGTTCGCTTGGGCGGTGACGTGTTCGATGCAAGAAGACGAGCTGTGAAGCTTTGCCGAGCAGACTGCAGCTTGAGAACGCCACCCCGTGATGCACCTGCTAATGCGCATTTAACGCGCGGTCGACTGTTGACGGGTGATCCCGGCAGGGAGTGTTCAAAAAGTTGAGCCCTGTGGCTCGCCTGTTCGGACCTTGCATGGTCGCGAGGAACGCTAAGCCTGCTGCACAGAGATGAGTCTCTCGAAGCACAACTTGCCATGGAGCAGTGGCATCTAAGGATCAGGCGGTGGACTCCTCGCAGGGCAGACACACAGGGGAAGGCCTTCCTTGCTCGCTGCCAGTTTCGGAGACTTGCGTGATGCATCGATGATGTATGCGACGAGGAGACCTCCTTGTCAGTGACGAGAGGCAGGTGATGGTGGTAGAAGTTGGCCGCGAGAGCTGTGCTGGCAGTATCCTGGCGGGATCTCAGCCATCCGACGATCTGGTCGGGCACCCGCTTTGCAGTCTCAGAAGCTCTGACAGAAAGTAACACCGCACAGCACCGCGGAAGGTAAGCGCCGGCTTGGACTCCTGGCAGGCCTTAGCCGCCTTGGCCGCCTTGGCTTTGGACTCAAGCTCACTGCAGGTCGTGGACACGGAGGGCTTGGTTGTGGCAGAGGACGATGTGGCGGGCCTCCAAGTCTCCGAGTGCACGGCACAATCAATGATTCGCGGGGTTGCGAAGTTAGAGGCAAGCTGTGCTGCGGCACACCTGAACTAATATGCTGGTGACCGGTGCTTCCTTCAAGGTCGACGCATTGCAGACGGGGAGGGGTTCCGTGGAGGCCGCACTTCCGAATGATCAGTGCGAGATATCGATGAGTTTGGAAGAGGCCAAAATGGAGCGGATGCTCACGTGGATGTTGGCTCCGGCAGTCCATGGTATACCCGCCAGCCTCGCTCGTGATTTCTACGTCTTCTGCAGGCATCAAGTGTGAAATCGACGCTCTGTCAGAAGCTGGGTGTACTTCCTGCTGAAGAGAGAGCCGCCGAATTGCTCTGCCAGCCCAGATCTCGGCTTGTGATGTTGGTGAGATCGGCCGAAGACTGTATCCAAGTTTGAGGCATGACCGCGAGGTGGAGGCCGCGGTGCGCGAGGCATCTGGGCATCTGAACCCTCAGTTTGTTGCACATTTCTGTCTTGCTGCAGGTTGTCGCAGGCTCAGAGAGGCGCGGATAGAACCGATCTCGATTACAGCTTTCGAGCGGAGCATTCTGCCAGGTCCGTCTCCACGGTTGTGCTGAACTTCTGCCTTGAGAGGATTCCAGTGCTGGGCTGCCCGACGGCTCTGCACCCAGCTCTCCCAGCTATCCCAGCTCTCAGCAATGTTTGGGATCTCCCAGTTTGAGCTTCCCTTGTTTGCATCTTTGTAGTCCCTGACTGTGACATGTCCTTTTCTGTCCGTAGTGCTCGTAAAGCCTTCGTTCCCGGTTTCGAGATGAGGGCAAGCAGCTCCATGTCTCGGTCAACTGGCTTTGGTGCACTGCACCTCCTCCTCTTGCAGGGTTCGCGGGTTCGAGTAGTGCAGCTAGTCGGCAAAAACAAGACTAGACAGCAATGTTACTTTCCTGCCGTGTACAGGAGACAGTCTAAGTCTAGGCTAGCCGGGAGATGACAGCACATATGTTTCCCAGAATTCACAATATCTCTTGTCTCGTCTCTAGTCGCCCGGAACCCTCCCCCCGAAGCCAGGAACTGAAAAACCCCCGGAGCCCAGGAGCTCGGGCCTCTTGCTGCAGGAAAAACCAGGAACCCGCAGCAGCAGTGCTGTCGTTGTACCGTTCTTATGTTGTTGTACAGATCGCTGTCGCTGGAGTCACCTTAGTCACCTTACGCAAAGGTGTCTGTAGCAGGTATCATGGCATTGCAGCATGGCCTTTCGGGCTGTCGCCTTAGGTTCTGCTTCGGACAACTTGGGGCGAAGTGCTCGGATAGAGACGCATCGTGATGCGTCCTAAGCTCAGCTTGTGTGTGTGCACGGGCATATGGGCATTGCCTGAGGCAACCTTCGCAGCATTCTCATCGTGGCTGCAATGTATGGCTGCTGTTCTGCACTAGTTGAAGAGGGGTTGCAGCACTCTCTGAGACACCTAAGTCCCAGGACATGACCTTGAATCAGCTCGTGTCCAACACGAGGTGCATCATAGAAGCAACATGCTGTCAGATGCTGTCAGCTGCACAGCCTCTTGCCGCTGGCAGGCCTTGCTCTGCTTGGTCCCTCCAGGAGATGACAAGGCAAGTTGTTGCGCGCGGAACCCGTAGCCGTGGCTGGCAGACTGCTTCTGCCAGGATTCGTGCGCAGCTGCTCTGAAGCAGCAGAACGTGACATCCTCATCCGGACAGTGTCGGAGCACAGTCATGATCGAAGCTCCTATGATGGCAAGGCATCGGACCTGAATCCAGCCACACTGGTATCTGCAACGGCTCAGCAGGCATGCAGAGCGGTGCTCGGGGAGCGCCCCGCAAGCATCATTCTTGCAGGTGGCACGCTTCATGATTCGCGGGGCATTGAGACGCGCCACGTTCTCAGCCCCCCTTGTCCTTCTCAATGGGTTCCCCCCAAAATAGATAGATCGATAGTATACCTCCTTTAAAGGGCTCCTATTAAGGAATATAGCTATAGGGATCTGTCTATTATTTCAAAAAGGACAAGGCTGTTCTCAGCGGCTACAATCAGCCCTTCCTGTTTCGCATCCCTCACAAGCCTTAGGCCACTGGCCTTCAAGCAGCCGTGGACTGCTTCGAGTTGGCATCTCTTCTGCTTGCCTCTCAGGCAGCCGTCAAAGCATCCAGAATTTCTTTGTGATTAGGAGTGTTTCTTTGATGCAGAAATTCGCAGAATCTTCGCGACAAGCCCGGGACCAACTCCGTAATGTTTGGGCACCGAGGTACAGCAGCTGTGGAAATGATGCTTTGGACGAGGCGAGGTTTTTGGGAAACGGCATGTCGCGGACGTGACGGGCACTGGCAGGACGGATTTGTCCACGTCACAGCTACACCAGCATCTGCCGCGCGGGATTTCTTTCGCCACGAGCTCGGTCACCACTTGTTCTTCTGCAATCTGTCTCCGCTCCACAGCTGGCCAAGCTCCGTGCTCTCGGATTGCCTGACAGAAGTGCCAACCTGGCACCCAACCATGGAACTATTGACGAAGCCCCCATGATAACTTCAGCCAAGACTGAGCTAGTTTCGAGAAGACCGGCAGCTCCTCCGAACATGTTTCTCAGAGTCTTTTTAAGTGAGGGAGCTGTGAATCAGAACAATCCCCGAAGAGTTGACCACATTCCTGCGACGAGACTCGTATTCTGGACACACAATTGAGTGTCAAAGGCTGCCCCTGAAGAGATCTGATCTAAGCTTGAGTTCAGGGGGATGACTAGCCAATGATACTGATGGCAACTGGAAGGTCACTCCTCATGGGTCATGGGCAAGCAAAGTTGAAACTCATGCTCCCGGCACAGTCCCGTGTTCATGTTTGCCGACAACTCGCTCACAGATAAATAACTATACATATAAATGTAATTTGAATTGTAAATACAGCTGTAAGCATATATTCAAGTTTAAATATAGATATAATCTAACTATGAGTATAAATACAAATGTCAATAATAATGATAAGTATATAGCAATGTATATGTATATGTATATGTATATGTATATGTATATGTATATGTATATGTATATGTATATGTATATGTATATGTATATGTATATGTATATGTATATTAATATATCCATATCTACATCTATATCTATATCTA